GTCGGGTCCAGCCGCGTCTTTGACCCAGCCCGGCGCTGGCCGGCCGGGCGCGGCTCGGGCGACCCCGGGCCCCGCGGCAACGCGCCATATACGCGTTTTCAGAAAAATGGAGCCTGATCTTGCGGCGCCGCTCTGCTCGTCTCCCCCCCCGCCGACGCTGAGTGTATAGCGCGCGCAACGAGCGCGCCGCCGGCGTCTGGCTCAAGACGCCGGCGCCCTATTTGATTTGATCGACCGTGGACTCGGCAATCTACTGTCGTACCAAAAATGAGTGAGACTTGATCTGTCTTCTATCTTCCCAACCACCTACCGCATGGTCCTCCTGCTTTTTACTGCTAGAATGTTGCCAGTAGCTTTCTGTAACCTCGATGATGTTGGCTTCCTCGCTGAGGCCATCTTGGACGGTGCAACCCCTCGCGGAAAGCCCCGTCCAGGGGGGGTGGGGACAGGGGTCAGGACGCCTTCCCCGCCCGCACGCCGTCTCGTTCAATCCTACCCGCCCTCCCAACACATGAGTAGCACCCGAGCCGCAACGTGTTCAGCGGTCGTTTTCGGATGGGCAGCTGATAGGAACCAACGCGAACCCCATGTGCGAAACGCTTGGGCGAGACGCGCCACGCATTCCATGCGCGCCACGCGCGCCATGCGTTCCAGGCACCCATGTGGCCCGAGCGTGCCAGGCACGCCTGGTGCGCTAGATGCGCCGATGCTCTAGCCGCGTCATGTGTGCCACGTTCGGGGCACGCGCAGAGTGTGCCAGGTGCGCCTGCGAATGTGGCAGTACTCGCCGGGAAACGTGTCGGTCCCCACCACCCCTGTCGAACACCAGTGCGCAATCGCGGTGGGATGGCCATCGTATTAGTGTCTTGTGGACCTGCGCACACGAGGCCATCTGCCAGGACCCCCGCCGTCCCAGTCAAAAACCATTGCACAATGATCGCATGATGCCCGCGCATTATCCAGACTTTGCCCTGAAGTTCTCTTGGCAGGGATACGGGCCCCGCGCACAGCAGACATTACGCGGGCACCGTCGCCGTCTCTGTCAACAAAGTGCTCGCGGCCGCACGATCATGACTCAAGATGTTGCCCGAAAGAGCACTTCACATGTTGACGGCGATGGTGGGGGGGGTCCTCATTGGTCCTTGTTGGTTGCCGGTCGCTTGGGGGAGGGAGTGTTTATTGATCGGGAACAGTGATCAATCCCTCCCCGAACGGAGAAAAAGGGGATTTGGAAGGAGAGACTCTCTAGACCATTCCCGCCTTCAAGGGCTGGCGGCATTTATGCGTGCTGGTTGGTCTCTTGCCGTAGCGGCTCGAGCACCTTTTTAACCCTCGTACGAGGTTTGTTTTCACCCTGCAGGCACGGTCGTGTTGCCTCACGTTCCTACACGGCCTGTTTCTTCTCAGCCGCCGCCTTAGGACCGCCTGCCCCAAGTTCGCTGTGCTCGAAGTAGTCGGTTGAGTGGTGTGCGACGTTGGCGCGCGAGGGAAAAGGTATCCAGTGTTGCATGGTCAGGTCGCACGCGGGCTTTCGCCCGCAATCCGTGAGGTGACCCCCCACCTTTGGACGCCCGAAATGGGTACGGAAAAAATGGATACAATGCCCAACAGCAAATGTTGTCCCAAACCAGCAGCGGCCGCTGTTGGGCAGGCGGCCTTCTGTCTCGAAGGGGCGCAGGCCGCGGCGACACCGACAGCGAGTCCTGTTCAGAATGAACAGGAACTGCTGTTGGGCATTGTACCCATTCCAAGGGCTCCCTCGAGGGCGCGAAGTTATTCGCGCTTCGCGGTCCTCGTTCCTTCTCCCCCTCCTCCTCGTCCTCCTTTTCTCCCTTTGGGAGGGCGGCGCGAGAGCGCGAAGTTATTCGCGCTCCGCGCTTCGCGCAGCGCGAAGCGCGAAGTTGGGAGCCCTAGTTCTTTCCGTGCCCATGTCGGGCGTCCAAACCAACGCTGGCCGCTCCGAAAAGCATGGGGACTCGGGGATCTACCCCCGTGGGGGCGATGCGGTCGCTCCCCTGTCGAGGACCGGCGCCCCCGATCGTGTACCCCCGAGTTTGGCTAACTGTTTTGTCCATTCGGACGCCCCACAGGGTGAAGGATTGCAAAAAACCCGAGGGATTGCAAAAAAACCGAAGGACTGCAACAAAAACCCTTGAACGAAGGATTGCAAAAAAACCCTGTTTTTTTTGGAATCCTGGGTTTTTTTTTGCAATCCCTCGGGTCGGGGGCGTCCTGCCTCTCGCGATCGGGGGGTACCTGAAGGGAGCAGCAGCCGCAGGAGCAGGCAGAGGAGGAGCGCGCAGGGGCAAAGGGTGTTCGATCCCAGGGTCGCCACGAGGGTGCGAAGGTAGTCTCGCTTCGCGCTTCGGGGTCCGGGCGGTTTCAGAGCCAGGTCGGGAAGGGGGGCGGGCGGCGCGAAAGCGCGAAGGCGCTTCGCGGAGCGCGAAGCGCGAAGCTACCAGCCCTAGGAACAGGCTGAGGAGAAGAGGGCATATGCAAAGGGTTGGATCCTCGGCAACACCATGCGGGCACGCATGCCATGCGGGCACTCAGGGGAGGCCAAACGTACCCCAGGACAGACATGCCCTGGAGTCGGGGCCTCAGGACCCACCTCGGGGCGTCTCACGGCTGCGTCTTGGCGCCCACGGTGGCTGGATCCGTGGCCGTTGCGACGCCTCAATGTGGGTAGGTTAGTCTTGGGGGAACGTCCGGCCCTCACCACGGCACGCACCCGGGTTCGCGCAATTCGCAATTCTCATCCGCGTGCGCTCAGCTCCTCCTCCTCCTCCTCCCTCCTCCTCCTCCTCCTCCCTCCTCCTCCCTCCTCCCTCCTCCTCCCTCCTCCTCCCTCCTCCCTCCTCCTCCTCCTCCTCCTCCTCCTCCTCCTTCTCTCCTCCTCCTCCTCTCCTCCTCCTCCTCCTCCTCCTCCTCCTCCCTCCTCCTCCTCCTCCTCCTCCTCTATGCGCCATCGGAGCGCCTTCTTGAGGTGCAGTGTGGCGCCCCCAGATCTCTCTCTCCGGGGGTCCCGCGTCGGCCGTGGCGGGCCGATGCCCCTCCCCAAATTTTGTTGCGCCTTCGGTCTGGAGGGTCGACGTCGGTACACCTCAGGCGATGCTTAAGAAAACCTAAGTTTTCGGCCAGGGTCTCGATTATTCTTAATGTTTCAATGTAAATCCTAAGATTTCGATGGAAATTCTGGGCTTCTACTCAAGTTCTGAGACTATGAATTTCTTAACCCATGATTTCTTAAGCATTTCGCAGGGTGTACGGAGAGAGTTCTGCCGAAGAGCACAGGAAGAACAAGGTGCCGATACCGCTACCCTTCCCTCGGTGTTGCTTTTTTGGGGCCTCGTGGGAGGCCCTCGTCGCCGCGGCTGGCTCGCCACGAAGTTCTGGTCAGAACGCACCCCAGCGGTGGTCCAGGGAGTGGCGGTATGGGTACCTTTTGGTTCCCCCAGAAGGCCTGCAGCAGTTCCTGTCCACTATGAACAGGGTTTGCTGTCGGTGCGCCGCGGACGTGATGCACTCGAGGCAGGACGTCGCCTGTCGGTTTCGGACAACCTGTGTTGTTGGGTGCCGTGCGTCATTCTTTCTGCACCCGACTCGGGCCTCCAAATTCCTCTGCTGGGGTCGAGAGGGCGGCAACGACGAGAAGCAGTGGGCCGAAGCGGCTACAGCCAGCCAGCACTAGTAAGGATGGCCGGCCTTCGCAAGGGTACCCTTGCATCCTTGCCTCCTCGGTCCATCCTTGGCCACTTTCGTTGGCCGCGCCCCGCTCGAAGAGCTTCGGAATGGGCGTCCAAGGCCCTTGCATCCTCATCGCGCATCCGTACTCTACTGGTTGACTGTATTGTTTGCCTGAGCTGCTGGCGCGGTGGTGGCGGCGGCGGCAGTCCAGCAGTGCTCCCCAGGCGCCGCCGCTGCTGCCTGCCGCACTCGGTGAGCGGCGGCGGGCCTCGTGCGGGCCCCAGGAAAATACACCACCGTTACGTTGATTTCTCATCCCTCCTCTACCCTCTTCTTCCCCTCCTCTCTCTTGGGAGAGGGAGGGGGTGAGGAAGGCGGTGGTGGTGTATATTCAGGAGGGGAAAAAACACACAGACACAATTAATCGTCGATTCCCAGGAAAATATGGGAAAATATGGGAAATGGGGGAAGACAAAAACCCAGAAAATATGAGAAAATATGGGGAATCTTTTTATTTGTGTGTATTTATTTGTGTGTTTGTGGGCCTCTTCAACCTCGGGCGTCCGAGGTGGGCAGCACCCGGCAGCGTCGGGTGGGCGGGAGGGTCGGCGGGCGGGTCGGCGGGGTGGGCCCCGGGCGCGAGGCCGCCGAAGACGCGGCGGCAGGGCCGCCGAAGCAGGTGCCGCCGGGCGGAGCTCCACTTCCGACGGGCACCAAGGGGGGCAGAGAGAGAGTGCCGCTCGGCTCCCGGATTCCGACAGTGGAGGCGCTGAAAGAAGGGTCATGTTTCGCTCAGGAGGGGCTCTGGCGATTCTGCTGCTGATGATGATGATGGTGTTGATGATGATGATGCTGATGCTGATGATGATGATGATGATGATGATGATGATGATGATGATGATGATGATGATGATGGTGGTGATGGTGATGGTGATGGTGATGGTGATGATGATGCTGATGCTGATGATGATGATGATGATGATGGTGATGGTGATGGTGATGATGATGGTGATGATGCTGATGATGCTGCTGCTGATGATGATGACGATGATGCTACGGACGATGCTGATGATGAGGATGAGGATAAGGATGCGGATGATGCTGCTGATGATGTTGATGATGCTGATAACGATGATGGTGATGATGATGCTCGCGGTGCTAGTGATGTTAATGATGCTGATGACGATGGTGGTGGTGGTGATGATGATGACGATGGTGTTTACGCGGATGCGGATGATCCTCGCTTCTCATCCCTCAATCCCCTCTCCCCCCTCGTCTGCCCCTGGCGCGCTCCACGGACCAAGCCGAGCGCCAATCGAGCGGGCCGCCCTCCCTGGCAGGGCTCGACCTAAGCTGTGTCTTGGCTACTTCGTGCATCGTTTCCGTCGTGATTTCGCTCAGCACACAGCAAAGAAAGGGAGGAACAAACAGAACAACACGAAAACGAAGCACACTGTATAGGTCGAGCTCTGCTTCCTGCTCCCTGGTTGGATGTGAGGGTTTGCGCGTCGTGTCGCACATCCTTGCCGACTGGCGCGCTCATGTCGTCGAAGAAGGACTGCACGCCGCGCTTTTCTCAGGATGGATGAGGCGCAGGAGGCGGAGGAGCAGATGCAGGAGCAGGGCACGTGTAAGGAATGGGAGGAGACGGAGGAGGCGGAGGCGGAGGATGGATGAAAGTTGCCGGTTGTGATGATGATGAGTGGTGATGACGGTGGTGATGATGATGGCGATGGGGTGGGTCATGTGGAAACGGATGATGGCCCGCCAGCCGAACCGGAGACGGCATTACTGGGGTTGAGACTTCAGACATGACCCTGCCGAGTGAGTGTGAGCAATCACCTGGTAAAAGGGGCGACACGCGTGGGGAACGAGGACAGGGGAGCAGGGGACGGGGGAGGGGGAAGGGAGGAAGCAGGACAAGGCGCACTTGCAGCACCAGGAGCAAGAAGCAAGGATGCGGGGCAGGGGCCCTCCTCCCTCCGCAGTTTCTCTCCGAGGCCCGGTCTCCCTTTCGCTGCTTGTGCCGCCTTGCCTCCTCCCTCCCTCCCTGTCAGGTTCCAAGTCGGGCCTGTCCCTCTACAGGAGCAATATTCAAAAATACTACAAATAGTATGGGGACGATTTTCCTATTATTTGTTTGATTATTATTCCCTACCTAGGCTCTGCCTAGAAGGGTTCTTACTCTCTAGCTTAAAGGGGCCGGGCAGTGGAAAGCGCCCCGGGCGGTTCCCCCAGTCCACTGGGAGCGGTTCCCCCCAGTCCCCTGGGAGCTTTAGCTTTAGCTTTAGCTTTAGCTTAGCTTTAGCTTAGCTGTAGCTTAGCTTTAGCTTAGCGTTTCGCTTAGCTTTTCGCTTAGCGTTTAGCTTAGCTTTAGCTTAGCTTTAGCTTAGCTTTAGCTTAGCTTTCGCTTAGCTGTAGCTTAGCTGTAGCTCAGCTTTAGCTTAGCTTTAGCTTAGCTGTGGCTTAGCTTTAGCTTAGCTTTAGCTTAGATGTAGCTTAGCTTTAGCTTAGCTTTAGCTCAGCTTTAGCTCAGCTTTAGTTTAGCTTCAGCTTAGCTGTAGCTTAGCTTTAGCTTAGCTTTAGCTTAGCTTTAGCTTAGCTGTGGCTTAGCTTTAGCTTAGCTTTAGCTTAGCGTTACTGTTACTACTAATGCTGCTTTCCTAGGGGTTCCAACTCCTAGGTAGGGTCGCACTGGGATAACCCTGCCTGTCGGGTGCTGGTGTCAGAGCGCTTGCGCCCTTCTCCGCGCTCGCGCGCTCCTCCTGGGACACAGGGTCCTCCGCTTCTCTCTCCTGTTGTCTTTGCCGTCCGCTGCCCAACGCCACCTCAGCCTCCCAGTCGCCTCGCCTCCCTCCCCCCTCTCGCCCTACCCTCGTCCCTTCCCCCACCACCCTCTCTCTCTCTCTCTCTCTCCCCCGCCTCACCCTCCCCTGCCATCCTAGCTCCCCCCCCCCCCTGGCCCTCTTCCTCACACTCCTCGCTTTCCCCCCCCCCGTCGGGTAGAAGCCCGCGCCGCGAGCGGGGGAAAGGTGGAGAAGCGCCGCAGCGCTGCCCCTCCCTCCTCCTCCCTCTCCCCCACTCCTCCTGCCCCTCCTCCCCGACTCCTCGTCCTCCTCCTCCCCTCTTCCCTGGTCCTCTTTTCCTCCCCTCTTCCCTCGTCCTCCTCCCCTCGTCCCCCGCCCCTTCTCCGCTCCTCCCCTCCCTCTCCCTCTCCCTCGTCCTCCTGCCCCTCGTTCCTCCTGCCCCCCGTTCCTCCTGCCCCTCCTCCCCTGCTCCTCTTCCTCCCTGGGAGCGATTGGGGATGGTCGGGGGAACGCTCCCGACTCCGAGAATGCGGAGGAGCAGCTGGAGCAGGTGGAGGGAGCAGGGCGAGGGGGATGGTGGTGGTGATGGGAAGCGACAGGCAGTATAGACCGGTGCCCTCGGGTCCCACCTCTACAGTGTAGAAGGGAGTTATCCTGGTCGCCTGGGCCCCACCCCCCATAGGCCACAGGCGCACCGTGGGGATGTGTTGGCCCTTCCATGGGCACTCGCATCGCCTGAGGAAACGCAAGACCCGCGTTCGTCCGAGCTCGGGTTCGCCAACATTTTTCACTGGCCCGTGCCGAACTTGCACGGCCAGTCTTCGTGGGATGCTTGCAGCGGGAGCTCGCGTCAGATTTCAGGCCTGTGCTCGTCATTTTCCTGACGGCCCCGTCGTCGGGGCAAACATGACACATAACATTACACCAGAGAGAAATCCCAACCAGTGGATGCTTTGAGATCGATTGTAGGATCGATAGTGAGATCGATAGTGTAATCGATAGTGTGGACGATTGTAAGGTCGATCGTGAGACCGATATTGAAGCGCTTCAATGGGATCGATAGTGAGATCGATCGTGAGATCGTTCGTGCGATATATAGTGACATCGGTTGTGAGATCGATTGTGAGATCGATAGTGAGATCGATTCAGAGGTGGGCAATGAGATCGATGGTGAGACCGATGGATACGAAGATCGACCAAGAACCCGGGAACCCGGGAACCCCGCCGCGCACCGAAGTTGGCCCGGAACCGGGAACCCGGGAACCCAGAACCGGCGGGAACCCGGGAACCCAGCCGGCTACCAAAATCGGCGGGAAATTTTCGCCAAATCTCAACATCCGCTAGGTCCCCTTCAGTGCAAGAATTGATTAGGGAATATGCATGAAGCTTTCGGAGGCCCGCGCGGATTTTGGGAACGACGCTATAGAACCGTCTTCCTGGCGCGCGGAGCGCGCCAGGAACGGTGCCGGACGCACCGCCGGGGGTTCCAGCGCCGATCTGGAAAAATCCGCGATGAGTAGTTCAGACAGTTTATACCTATGTCATTGTTTGGTCCGCGACGTCATGCCAACCGCAGTCCCGCGCACCTAAGCAGACCAGGAGGGAAAACAGGCAGACACATTTCAACGGCGATGCCCATGAAACTATTGGAACACCTGGGAAGTGGATGGGAAGACGATCATCCAGAAAATATGGAAGAGCACGGAAGATCCTGGGATGTTCGTCTATTCGTTCATGTCTCTCTGGGTTTAGGAGGAACGGGGAGACGTCGGATGGGGCTAGGACGAGGAGAAATCCGTTCCAGAGCGTTCTTGAACTCTCTCACAGCGTCCCGGAACGCTCTTAGAAGGCCGCGGCGCCGCGGCCGCGCCTGCTTCAACAGATTTGTGGGGTTGCAGTAGATTCGGGGCGTGCAAAGCATTCCGGTGCGCAGATGTATTGCTGTATTTGCGCGTGCAAGACGTTGGTTGCAATACAATGCAATACAGTTCTCTGGCGCAGTGCGTTTGCGATGCATCGCCCCAAATCTATTGCACCACCCCCCTTCAGCTGGACTCTGTTTTGGGTCAACCAAAGGCGGTCAGAAGCCGGGCGACGGCTGCCACACCCGTGGCTGCTAAATCGGAGGCCTGGGATTGCGAAGGCCTAACGGCCGGTGCCGCCGACCCTGTTCGCAATGCGCAGCAAGAGGCACGGGCTGTGGGATGGTTTGGGGGAACGGGGAGAAGGACGAGAAGGTGGGGGAGGGAGGTGTCGTATCTGACCCGGGACTTCCCCGGGACTCCCCCGGGACCCCCCCCGGGACCTCCTCTCCCCCCCCCGTCGGGGAAGGGAAAGGGAAGGGGCTTCCCTTCGACTCAATGACGACGTTGCTCAAGGTCGGTACGGGGGGGGGGCGTCGTATCTGACTCGGGGGGGGGGTCGCTACCCCCCCCGCTACCCCCCCCCCCCTCCCGGCGGGGGAGGAATGAAAGGGAAGGGGCTTCCCTTCGACTCAATTACGAGGTTGCTCAAGGTCGGCTTGGCTGGAGCCCAGGGGAAGAGGAGTCCCAGGGGGGGGCGTCGTATCTGACCCGGGGGGGGGGTCGCTACCCCCCCCCCCTCCCGGCGGGGGAGGGATCAAAGGGAAGGGGCTTCCCTTCGACTCAATTACGAGGTTGCTCAAGGTCGGCTTGGCTGGAGCCCAGGGGAAGAGGAGTCCCAGGGGGGGGCGTCGTATCTGAGGGGGTCGGGCGTCGGAGGTTGAGGTCCCTGGGTCGCTACCCCCCCCCCCCTCCCGGCGGGGGAGGGATCAAAGGGAAGGGGCTTCCCTTCGACTCAATTACGAGGTTGCTCAAGGTCGGCTTGGCTGGAGCCCAGGGGAAGAGGAGTCCCAGGGGGGGGCGTCGTATCTGACCCGGGGGGGGGGTCGCTACCCCCCCCCCCTCCCGGCGGGGGAGGGATCAAAGGGAAGGGGCTTCCCTTCGACTCAATTACGAGGTTGCTCAAGGTCGGCTTGGCTGGACGAGGTTGAAGGGAAGGGGCTTCCCTTCGACTCAATTACGAGGTTGCTCAAGGTCGGCTTGGCTGGAGCCCAGGGGAAGAGGTCTCCCAGGGAAAGGGAAGGACAGAGACGACGAGTACAAAGAATGACGGAGATGACGGCTCGAACGGAAAAGCCCCTCACACACGCCGACAGGGTCGGCGGATTTTTGTTTCTTCCGGGAAGCAGCCCGTTTACTAGTCAGGGCGCTGAGTTTCTGGACGCCCGAAATGGGCACGGAAAGAATGGGTACGATGCCAAACAGCAGTTCCTGTTCATTTTGAACAGGATTCGCTGTCCACGCCGCCGCGGCCTGTGTCCATTCGAGACAGAAGGCCGCCTGCCTCACAGCGGCCGCTGTTGGCTTGGGACAACATTTGTTGTTGAGCATTGTACCCATTGTTTCCGTACCCATTTCGGGCGTCCAAAAAGTTTGATTCTGGGCATTTGTTTTCTTCGTCCGGGAAGACCGTTTCAGCAGCCACGGATTTGCCAGCCCTCGCCCAGCTTCCAGGACGGGCCCCTCGAGGCGTCCCTCTGGAGCCTGGCCCCGAGGTCTGTGCCTGGGCCTCCTCACACATAGCCGCTTTAGTGTCGTCTTCAGCTTTTTGTCTATTGCGAAGGCCTTACGGCCGGTGCCGCCGACCCTGAAGACGGCGACGACGAGGACGACGAGGATGTTGAGGAGCAGGTGGCGGAGGACGCTCGGGAGCAAGAGGGGCGAGGAGGAGGAGGAGGAGGTGCGAGGGGGGAGGAGGAGGACGAGGAGGGGGGTTGAGAGGGACGAGGAGGGGAAGACGAGGCTTCGGCTTTATATGTATGTTTCTCTTCGTGGGTTCGGGGACGACGGGCCCCCCGAGGCGTACCTGCTCGCTTACAACGGGGCCTGCTGCGCCGGCTGGGCGTACTGCACCTTGCGCGCCGCGTCCCTGGTGGCCTCCGGCGCGGAGCCCGGCCGCGTGTGGGAGGCGTGCGGCCAGGCCCGCGCCCCGCCGGGGAGGCTTCGGCGATCGAGGCCTGGCGTCGACGATGGAGGCTTCGGCGATGGAGGCTTCGGCGACGGAACTTTCGACGGTCGAGGCTGCGACGCTCGAGGTTGCGACGATCGAGGTTGCGACGATCGAGGTTGCGCCAATCGAGGCTTCGACGATGGAGGTTTCGACGATCGAGGATTCGACGGTCGAGGTTTCGACGATCGAGGTTCCGACTATCGAAGTTTCGACGATCGAGGCTTCGGCTATGGAGGTTTTGACAATCGAGGTTTCGACGGTCGAAGTTTCGACGATTGAGGTTGCGACGATCGAGGTTGCGACGATCGAGGTTCCGACGATCGAGGCTTCGGCTATGGAGGGTTCGACGATCGAGGTTTCGCGACGGTCGAGGCTGGGCTGACCGAGGTTTTGACAATCGAGGGTTCGAGTCCTAGGTCCTAGGCGTGGATGTGTCTATGAGCACCGCCGATCCCGGCAGCCGTTGGACAGGCCCCCCGGAGCAAACAGTCAACCCGCATAGTAAGGATGGGCGACCCCAGCAAGGGGACCCTTGCATCCTTGCCCCCTCGGCCCATCTTTGGCGACTCTTGCTGGCCAACCTCGTTCGAAAAACGCTAACGTGGCCCTCCAGGGCGCATACATCCTTACCGCGCATCCTTATGATACGGGTCGACTGTATATCCACACCCACTGCCCCCGGGGTCCCAGGACACGCGTGGTGGACACTGATGTGACACTGATGCGCAGCAGCCTCGCATCGGGGCCTTGTTTTGCTTCTGCTGGGCCTCTCTTCTCTGGAGCTTCCTCGTCGCCGCGGCTGGATCCCCTGCGAAATCGTGGCCTCGGCCCACCCCGGGGAAGGGGTCAGGGGCGACGATCGAGATTGCGACGATCGAGGTCTCGTCGATCGAGATTGCGACGATCGAGGTCTCGACGATCGAGGTTGCAGCGATCGAGGTTTCGACGATGGAGGTTTCGACGATTGAGGTTCGAGTGGCCGTCTCAATCTGGGCAGGCGTTTTTTCATCGCTTTCGGCCTCCGGCTGTTCCGTTTCTAGGACCCTGGCGCAATCACGAACAAATCCAAAGAAAAAGCTCCATTTGGGGATGGGAACGGGACTTCTGGGGCCCGCGGATTGAATTTGACCTTTTCGTCGGAAGTGTGGGGAGGGAGGATTGAGTGTCAAGGTTGATGTCTGCTTCTCTTCCATTTTCGGCCTCCGCGAGCTCTCGTCGCGCCTGGTGCCTGTCAGAAGCCGATGTGAGGGCAGGATGGGGCGGGGAGGGATCTGGGGGTAGATCTTGATCAGATTTTTGGGCGTCTTGAGGGCTTCTTGGGTGGTCACCTTGAGGCCATCTTCAGCCGTCTTGGACTGTCCCACTGCAAGATTGCTCCAATATGGCTCTACTATGGGACAAGTCTTGTGCCATCTTGGAACTATCTTGCCCTTTTTGGAGGCAATGTTTGATCGTATTTGAGGCTGTATTGGCCTTCTTGGAAACCATTGACAGAGAGTTCCCGGGGAGCCGGCGGGGAACCTTTTGGAAAGGTTCAACACTTTCACGTCAGGCACGCCAAGCACCCTTCTTGCAAGCAACATGGGCCGCCAGGTCTAGTGGCCTTCGGCCCATCCCACCACCACGCCAGGGTCGTGAACAAGAGGCCTTTCAGAGCTCTGTTGGGTCTCGCTTATGGCCTGTCGGTTGCCTCTTGGAGGCCTGTGGCCACTAATCACATCCCGCTTCTTCGAAACTTTCGGCAAGGATGCGGATAGCAGGTGCAGTATGTGCACCTGTGCCGATCACGGGTGCATGTGCATTCACACCTACTTCATCGTCTGCGCCACCGACCATCGCCCTGGACGAAGCTTCCCAGGCCCTGGCACACTGGTTGTCGCTCCCTGCCGTCCAGTATGCGACCGTCCTTTGGACGACTCGGGCCCTGGGCGAGGAACATACCCTGCATCGGACAACACATCACGGCACAGGAGTACACCTCAGGCGATGCTTAAGAAAACCAAAGTTTTCGGCCAGAGTCTCGATTATTCTTAATGCTTCAATGTAAATCCCAAGGGTTTGATAGAAATGCTGGGCTTTCATTCAAGTTCTGAGACTATGAATTTCTGAACCCACGATTTCTTCAGCATTTCGCAGGGTGTACCTGCATGTTTGGAGGTCCGTGCCGATTTCTCGGGTCGGCACTGGGCCTCTCTCCCCGGCCGCACGGAGCACGCGCGCACGCGCAGCGGCGGCGCCGAGGGGGGCAGCGGGCGCCGGCCCGAGGCATCCGCGCGGACCTCGGAGAGTCGATGCCCACGAGCGGCGAGCGTACAGTGGAGGCCCAGGCCAAGGAACGCCCTGGTTGCCTCCAGGGCGCCCTGGGTATCCTCCTCCTCCTCCTCCTCCTCCTCCTCCTCCTCCTCCTCCTCCTCCTCGTCGTCCTCCTCCTCCTCCTCCTCCTCCTCCTCCTCCTGGTTTTTCCTGTCCTCGTCGTCCTCCTCCTCCTCCTCCTCCTCCTCGCCCGAACTGGTGGCCCGAATTTCGGCCACGCTCGCCAGGCAGTTTCTGACAGCGAGTTTCGGCGCGCATTCGGCGCGTCGAGACACCTGCGTTGCGGAAGAGGATGGGAAGGTCTCAGCAGGTTTAGTGCGTCGCCGGCCTCCCTGGGTTTCGATGGCTTTCTGTGATGGGAGGAGTGACGTTCCCGCGCCAAAGAAAGTCGATGGACGCCCTGGGGTCTCAGGGTTAGGTTTCTTGCGGAAGGCTCCTTGTGGTTGGGCCTCCACTGTAATTATCTGTGTCCGCGCCCTCCGCGGTCTTCGACGAGCGCGTTCCACGACTCGCAAAGTAACTACTCGCAAGTGGCCAGGAGAGAGAGGAGGGAGGCTGCTGAGGGCTAGTCGTACCCAGCTTCGATAAATTACACCGAATCACTCATACGCCCTTCCATCACTTAAATTGATCGATAAGTTACTGTATAGAACCTTCCATGTACTAGGTGATGAGGGTTATGACTGTGATTGGCGGCGGTGGCGTTGACGACGACGACTATGGTGGTGTTGAGGGTGATGGGGGTAACGATGGTACCGAACATGATTAGCTGTCTGAGGATGAACGCGAGGAGGTGGGCGAGGACAGGAGGAGGATGGCAGGAGGAGACATTTCTGCGAGGAGGCGGATGAGAGGGAGCATGGGGGATGGGGGATAGGGAGGATGATAAGGGCCTTGCTTTACTAGAGGAAGCCTCGGAGCATGACAGTTGCGATTCCAGACGGGGCGATGTTGAGGCCGCAGAGGGTAGCCCGATTCCCAAATTACCCAATTACGATTCAGACATCCATATCATGCCCCATGACCAGGTGCTCACTGTGTTCCAGACCCTCATGGTCAGATGGGGCCAGGGAGGCGGCATCGTTAGCGCAACGGAAAGAGTACGAGAAGGTGCTTCTTCCGTTGGTCCTGGCATTGTGCATGCATCGTGCTCATGATTTGGCAGTCTCTCGCCCCCGCTCTCCCAACCCCCGCGTATCTCCTTCCCCCGCCCTAACGCTTCCTGGTGCACGCGTTTCTTTCATGTCACTGGTTCCGAACTGTATTCCTCATTCCTGCCTTCTCCTCCCCATTGTCAAGAGGTTCTGGAGAATGGCTAAGTGATCGTCATGGGGAGAAGGTGTGCGAATCCGAAGCCGCAGGGTTGATTTCGCTCCGAAGCTGTCTGGTGCATCGAGCTCGGTGCGTCGCGATCGAGACCATGACGCCTGATGGTAGTAACCTTGCAGCAGCAGTGGCGGCACTTGCGCGAACAATGGGCGAATCGGCACGAGGAGACACGACACGTTGATCGCCAGAGCAAGTCTGGCGTTCGCGGAGATCAGGTTCGGCGGTGTGCGAGATGATGGTATAGAGTATACGCTGCGAGGGATGCACTGCTGTTCTATTTCGCGTTGCCAGTGTCATGTTCAGGGGGCTGGTGATGCGCCTAACTGAGTAATGCAGGGCGAGCGCACTGCAAGCGAATGCGTGCCCGGGAGGCGCGCTCATGACGGGGCGTCCTGGACAGCGAGCTCTGTAGACCCTGCATGCGTGAAGCTCGTTACGTCCGCTGTCGGGGCGTTCGCGCCCCAGACGGTGTTGTCACACGTAGGTTGTGTTGTGCTCCTGCGGTCTTCTCGCATCCATGACGCGCGATCTGACCGCTCTGTGGCCTTGCCCGTGTTCGTAGCTCAGCACGGTTCAGTGGTGTGAAATACAGGGGGGGCCAGGGGATGCGGGAGGTGGCAGAGATCGTCCACTCGATTATCGGCCTGGTTCCGAGCCCCGTCATGACCGTAGTGATCCAAGTTGGCTCTCGCATATTTGTGCTCTGGGAGGGGCGGGGACGAGGACTATCACTTGCTCCACCTCGCTCTTCCGGGACGCCACGACAGCTTCTCTCGGGTGTCTCGTGATGGTGGGCGGTACATGGGGGGATCGAGGGTTGCTGGAAAGAGTGGCCCTCAGCCGGAATGAGCGCTAGTGGAGTCCTTTCTAATTGAAAAGGGCCGGCGGCGTGCTCGCACAATTCCCCTTTCCAGGGGGTCTGTGTTCGGATCCCCCGCCCCCCGCACTTCAACGTGGGTGGGTCGGGGGTTCGGACTCCCCCCCTTTTTTGGCAGGTTAGGTGGTCAGGGTTAGAGTTGTAAGGTTAGCGTTAGGGTGTTAGGGGTAGTTTAAAAGCGTTAGGGTGTTAGGGTTAGGATTAGAAGCCAGGGTGTTCGGTTTTGGGTGTTAGGGTTAGGGTGTCAGCGTCAGGGTTAAGGCGGTTGGATTCGGATGCTAGGGTAGGTTGTTCGGGTTAGGGATCAGGGTGTTAGTTTTAGGGTGTTAGGGCGTTAGGGCTAGTGCGTTAGCGTGTTTAGGTTACAGTGCTGGGGTCAAGGTGCTAGGGCTACGGTGTCGGGGTTAGCGTGCCAGGGGTTAGGGTGCCAGAGTTAGGGTGTCAGGGTGAGGGTTCGGGTGTTCGGGCTTGTGTGTTCGGTTCAGGGTGTCGTTTTTTATGACCAGGGATTGCGGTCCAGAGCTCCGTGGCTCCGGGCCCCAGGACCACCAGACTCTGCATCGAGGGAGCGGTCGAGGCCTCTTGGGTCTGCTGGCTGACGTCAGGGCCCGCGGTAGTGATGAGGAGAAGGTGGAGATGGTGTGGAGAAAAAAGATACAGTCTGTGGGAAGAAAACGCACTCGACCGGTGGGCAACACAACACACACACACACAAACACACAAACACACACACATAACTCACAAGCACGCCCAACATATAGCACAACACACAACACACAACGCGCAACACACACGCACACTGTGTGTGCGTGTGTTTTCCCATTGTGTGTGTGTGTGTTTTTCCAACATTTGTTTTGTTCCACCGTGTGCGGTCTGTCCACGGACTATGTGTGTTTTTGGTCCACCGTGCGTTTGTGATTTTTCCACAGGGTCGGCCCGGCCAGGTCCTCAGGGGCGCGCTGGCGCGAGGGCGAGGGCGCGAGGATGTGCCCGCGCCCTGCGGAGCGGGGGCGCGCGGGGCCCGCGCGGCGTTGGGCGGCCCAGGCCCAGCTCCGCTTTTGACACCTCCTCCTCCTTCTCGATCTCCTCCTCGCCCAAGTCCTCCTCTTCCTCGTCGTCGTCCTCGTCGTCGTCTTCGTCGTCGCTATCCTCCGAGACACCCTGATCGGGGAGTCTCTCGAACCGGCTGCCCGCTACTGCTCGCCCACGCGCTTGACGCGCGAGGGCGCTCGCCGAAGGCCTGTGTGAGGGACCCAAGGCATAGGCCCCTGGTGCGGTCTCCTGCGACGGCTCGCCACCTCCCCCTCCTCCTCCTCCTCCTCCTCCTCCTCCTCCTCCTCCTCCTCCTCCTCCTCCTCCTCCTCCTCCTCTGGCCGCGGAGGGCGCGAGCCCGCGGGCGGTCCTCCTGCGCGTGGGCGAAGAGGCAGCCGCGGTCCGCGCAGCCGGCCCCCTGCCGGCTGCGCGGGCGGGCGGCGGGGCAAAAGGGCGGCGACGGCGGGCTCGGATGCGCGACGGCCTCGGCGCCGGCTCCGCGTCTCCGCACCAGTTTCCAGTGGCACGTGGCCTCCCCCGTCGGGTAAGCAGGTCGTCGTCCTCCAGTGCTCGACGCCGAGTCTCGCCGCCCCGGGCGGCGTGTGGACGCGTGCTGACCTCAATGTCTCATCCTGGCCTGAAGTCGGGCATGTCCCTCTCTCAGGAGGAATGTTCAAAATAGGATAAGAATAGTCAGGGGACGGTTTTTTGAGATGTAAATTATTTTTGAGCATTGTTTGACCATGTTTTATCAAAATCCGCATATAGAAGGACATGCTCGACCTAATCACGCCACTGCGGTCGTTTTTGTCCGACCGTGGGCCGCCATAGGGGGGCAGGCGGAGGAGCAGGAGCAGGGGGAGCAGCAGGGGTACGGAGGAAGAACCGCCAATGGCTCGTTTCGATCCCTCCGGTTCGGTCCGATGCGATTTCCGTGGCTTCCGATTGCGATTCGATCCCATTTGAGACTCCAATGGGGCTTCTGGCTTCGCAGCGGAAGCCTTGCCAGCCTGCCGATCTCCGCCGATTCGGCTTTTCCGACTGGGTGGCCGGTTTCCGCCGATCCGACGCATTTCGATCGCCGATCCGATTTATCGATTCGATTCTGGGCTCTTCCGGGCAAGAGATGAACAGGAACATATGGAGCAGGATGGAGACGGAGGAAGAACCGTTACCCAGGATTGGCGTTTGTTGAAGTGTCCAGTGCGTTGATTAAGCAGCAAGGTCCCATTCGATTCCTTCTCTAGGCGCACTCACTCAGCGTACTCGATTACGGCGTCTTCAGGGCACTACGCGTGTGATTATTCCGCTTCCCATGGATGGAGTCGGAGGAGGATCTGGATATGAGGGAGGGCTGGTGGGGGAGGGGCACACGGCGATGGTGCCGGAGTGCCAGCAGCACTGGTCGTCCAGCATGATGATGATTCTCTGGGGTATTGCTGAGGCCTGCTTGCGCATCACCCCCGCCCATTTGTGTGTGTGTTTCGTCGCCTCTGCTCTCCACGGAAGAGGAGGATCGAGAAGGAGAAGCAACGCAGAAGAAGGTCGAGGGCAGGAGGAGGAAGAGGATCCTGGAGGTTGGTCGCGGAGGAAGCTCGTGGAGGAGGATCGAGGAGAGGGACCCCCTTGCTGGGCAAGACCCAGCCCCTCTCGCCCCTGCCCCCTCCGCCTCTCACACGCCCCTGTCCCTCGCCTGTTTTTGTGGCAGGGGGGGGGCCCCGATGAGGATGCGGTGCTTTGCCCAGGATGCCTCGCACTGCTGCCTCTCCCACACGTGCTTTGCCAATCTCGCCGACCAGTCGCTGCACCTTGGACGGGCAAAGGCCTCTCATCCATGACGAGGATCCTTGTGACTGGCTCGGGCTCTGGCTGTATTTCCCCCCTCTCGCCCGCCACTTTCTCTCACAATGTACGCAGCCTCTCCTAGTCTGATTGTGCATCATGCGGTGGATTTTTTTGGGGGGGTCCCAGATCCACTAACTATGACACCAGTCGGCGGATAGAAAACAAATCAGCGCAACGAAAACACATCAGCGCGAAAATCAGCGGCGCGAGCGCACTTAGCTTGTCCCCGCCCTGGTCCCTTCCCCCCCTCCCCCTCTGTATCTCTCTCCGTCCGCCCTCCGTCGCACTACAGTCGGCCCAGATTAGTAGGTCGACACTGCCAAGTCAAGGGTGCCCTTGTGTCCTGTGTCTCGCGACCCATACTTCCTACCTTCCTGTGGCGCTGTGGCCCTCCGAAGGGTCTTGTGTCCTGTCGCGTGTCCTGTCCAATCGAGTCCGACTCTACCCCGGCCCTCGTCCGTGCCCTCCTCGCCTTGCCCTGGACTCTGCCCACGCGCCCGCTCGCCCGGCCTCGCTCAGCCCAGGGACGATTCCGCTTCGCCTCTCCTCCTTCTCCGTTCTCCCTCCTCTTTGTCCCTCCCAGAAGCGAGGAGCGCGGAGGAGGAGGAGGAGGAGGAGGAGGAGGAGGAGGAGCAGGAGCAGGAGGAGGAGGAGGAGGTGGAGGAGCAGGAGGAGGAGCAGGAGGAGGAGCGAGGAAGAGGAGCGAGGAAGAGGAGCCAGGGTCCATCATACACCGTCTCTCTTGGAAGTCACCCCGCCGTTCTTCCTCCGCCAGAGCCTCTGCCCCTCCTGCTCCTCTCGGCCCTGCACCTCTCCTCCTCCTCTTCGTGGATTTGCCTGAACGGGGAGTGAGTGAGAGAGAGAGAGAGAGGGAGAGGGGGGAGAGACAATCTTCCAACCCCTACTCGGCCTCCTGTTTCACATCCTTATCCCTACCGTCCTGCTGCTTCTCATCCCCTGCGACTCTGCGATGACAACCGCGCTAACCAGCTCCGTGCACGATCTTTGGTATGCGTTGATCGTGACATGACACTGTGCATGAGGGTTTGGGCTCAGGGTGAACGTGCCCGGACCTGCCAGCGCGCGGTTGGTTGAGTTCACGACAACACGAGAAACGCATTGTTTCATTGTACACGTGGCTCTCGGTACCCTTGGTGGTTTGGCCCGATAGTTCATGGCTACTCAGGCCGCTTCTCAGAGAGCATTCGCCGCCGTGTGTTGTCGGTTGGAGGCTTGTCGCGCATGTCTCATGCCATGAGCTGACGGTCCAGTCAGTGACAGTTGTCCTGGTCATGTTGCACAGGTGGCGAGGTACCTCTTCTATTTCACGAATATTTTGGGAACGGTGCCATATCCCATATTCTGGTTGAGATATTCGTTATTCATAGTGCCACCGCCTTATGGTTATTTCATGTCGGTTTGCTTCGCATGGGCAGAATTCCGAACATCACTCACCCTTTATGCTCGCCCTTGGCCACACGATCGATTCCCATTCGCCTCGCCTGCCAGAGTAGCTCTGAGGGTATACGCTCATCCCAGCGTTTTGGGTTGCTGATCTGTCATTTCGATTTAATTTGGTCTGGGGCAGCATACTGGCAGACGAAGGGGAGGTGGAAGGAGAGGGGGAAGATCAAGGCCTTCCAAATGGGGTCCTAGTAGATGGGGTCGGAGGATCTCGCCGCATCGCCGATGCATCGGCGATGCAGGTCGATGTGGAGCCCGATTTTCTTTACGCCGACGGCGTCGATGCATCGCCGACGTCGCCGACGCATCGCCGATTCATCGGCGATGCATCGAAGATGCAGTACGATCTTCCGACCCCATTTCCACGGATCCCGTGTGGGAGTCGGCCAGGAGAGGAGAGGGAGCAGGATACGTGCGCACGTTGCATCCTCTGATTGCTGCTCTTCGGATGCCGAGCTGGGGGAACGTGGCTTGTCCAGGCATAGCATCGCTCTCGATGAGCGCCGGCTCGGCCTCTCGAGATTCGGCGGCGCGCCTGTGGGGGGGAGGTGAGAGGCGGCGGGGCCTCTCGGAAGCCCTCCAGCCTTCGTGGCGGCCGTCTGCGCGTTCTCGGAGAAGGCTTTTGGGACAATTTCGCGCAGAAGGCCGGAGGCTCTCCGCGTCGTCTGAGAGTGCCCGCCCCCATGCGGCTTCCCCCTCGGGCTCGCCGCCGAGACGTGGCTCCCCTCCCCCCTTCTCCGCCCCTGCTCTCGCTGCTGTCGTCAAGGGCGCCCTCGAGGGCGCGAAGTTGTTCGCGCTTCGCGCTCCTCGGTTCGGCTCCCATTCCTCCTCCTCCTCCTCTTCTCCCCTGGGAGGCGGCGCGAGAGCGCGAAGTTATTCGCGCTTCGCGCAGCGCGAAGCGCGAAGTCGGGAGCCCTTGAGTCGTGCTCGCCCGGCGACGAAGCGTGGGCCTCGACGCGCCTGGGGGCACGCAGGGCAGAGCTCAGCATCGCAGACCTAGAGGTTGACACCAACACCAGTATCGGCGGTGTGCCTCCACCGAGGGAAGAAGCTCCCGATCTCGGTGATGGTGGTAATGATTCTGGCTTCCAAGGTGGCCGAAATATCACCACCACCGAGATCTAGGGTCATCTTCCCCCTGTGGAGGCAACCTCCTGTGCTGGTGCTGGTGCCAATTTCCAGGCCTCCAACAGCAGCCGACTCGGTTGATGAGGCTGCGGGCCGTGCTTGGGGGAACGAGCCATGACAGAAGCATAAACACTCGGAGGTCCGCGCGGATTGTTTGGGGGAGCGAGCCATGACAGAAACATAAAAACTCGGAGGTCCGCGCGGATTGCTTGGGGGAACGAGCCATGACAGAAACACAAAAACTCGGAGGTCCGCGCGGATTTCTCGGATCCCCTTGGGCGGCGCTCCCGGCGCCGCCCCTGGCGCGCTCCGCGCGCCAGGGAGGGGGGTCCCGCGCCGATCCGAGAAATCCGCGCGGGCCTCCGAGTTTTGATATGTTTATGTAATTGTTCGCTCCCCCAGTGAGATCCGCAAGATCGGAAGAATGGGCAGGCGCCCGGGGCGCCTCGCGTCGCGGCGACGGAGGACCTCCCGGGGCTCGGGGTCGCAGGGGGGGCGGGAGCGAGCGGCGAGAGCCCCCTTTTCCCCGCTCCTCCTCCCTTTGCCCCCTCCTCCTCCTCCTCCTCCTCCTCCTCCTCCTCCTCTCTCCTCCTCCTCTCTCCTCCTCCTCCTCCCCTCCTCCTCCTCCTCCCTCCTCCTCCCTCCTCCTCCTCCTCCTCCTCCTCCTCCTCCTCCTCCTCCTCCTCCCTCCTCCTCCTCCTCCTCCTCCCTCCTCCTCCTCCTCCTCCTCCTCCTCCTCCTCCTCTTCCCCCGCTCCGTCCCCCCCCCTCCCTCCCGCCCTCCCCCCATTGACCCGAGCGCCTGAGGCACGAAATTCACCTTGCCCTATGCGTAGCCCAGGGACTCGGGCGGGTCTACGACGTGTATCCGCGCTTCCGCAGCGTGGCGAGCGGAGATTTTTTGGATTGGCGAGCTCGGATGGGTCCAGATGCCGCTGTGCCTCCACGCACAAACGCGCTGGGGTGCCACCAGGCGCCCGCTGACAGCCCTCCGGGGCCCCACAGACGGCCCAACGTGGGTTCGCGGGGCTGCCACTGGGTTGCCCGTGGCTCCTCAGTCTGGTCGTCAGCGGATTGCCGTTTGGGCTGTCAGGTGGACTGTGATTTGGCTGGGCTGTGTCAGTGCGGGGCGCGTTTTGCCCCCCGCTCCCTGCACTCCCGAACTGCAACTGTCAAGCCATCACAGCAAATATGACAGTCCAACTGACAGAACCTGACTACCTACTATCAGGTCCACTGGAGGGTATGCAATGGCGATCCCAAGGGTAGCCAGAGGCTTCTCCTTTGGTCTGTGTGTCAGTGGATTCTCAGTGGGACCTGGGCGGGTTGTCAGGTGCTCTGGGGTTGTTTCTGGTGCCCCCTCTGGGTTGTGAGTGATTTCCTTAGGGGGATGCGACGCGCTCCAGGTGCCACTCACCCCTCGGTCCCTGCCTCCCTCCCTCCCTCCCTCCCTCCCTCGCTCCCTCCCTCCCTCCCTCCCTCCCCCCTCTCGCCATCTGTCTTTTGCCTGCCCCTCTTCTCCCCTCTGCCCTCTCCTTTCCCCCCTACCCTGCTCCTCCTCCTCCTCCTCCTCCTTCTCCTCCTCCTCTTCCTCATCCTCCTCGTCCCCTACTCCTGAGTATTCCTTCCTCCATCCTTCCTCCCTCCCCGCGCCCCTCCTGCTGCCCCTCCTGGTATCTCCCCTCCTCTCTTCCCTCCTGCTCGTCATCAGGTGCTGTACCCCACGGGCATCAGCGGGGAGATCATGCAGGTGCTCATTGCCATGGGCGCGCACTGGACCGCAACGCTCGCCTTTCCGTTGGCCATTCTACAGCTCCATGCGAGGAAGAACAAGCCGAGTCCATCTACACTTTCGGAGCACCGTGCCCTCCCACCTGCTCCCATGTCTTCCCGAATCTTCCTACCCATTTCCATGCCAGTCCTCCTGCTTCCTGATCTCTCCTTGCTTCTCTCCTCCACGGGCCCCGCCACCGCACACAGCGTGGTCACTGTTGTAGTGTGCACATGGCCAGTGCAGTGTGCACAGGCGTTGTGGTGTTCACAGGCGTTGTGATGCACGGAAGCTTTTTGGTGTACACAGGCGTGGTTGCGAACGTTGCTGCAGTGTACGCAGGCATTGTGGTGCACATGGGCGACGTGGTGTTGTGTTGTCCGCGCAGCGCTGCTGTGGTGTACAGGGGCACTCTGGCGTACGCGGGCGGCGCTGTGCTGCACGCAGGCACCGGGCACTGTCGTGTGCACAGGGACTGACACGTAGTCATTGGGTATTTTTGTCGTGTGCACAAGGACTCTGGCGCACACATTCGACTTTTATGTGCTGGTGGCTCGAGCCCACCCTGGCGGGTGCACGCCGCGGCCGCCCTTACCGTTACCCCCCCTGCCCGCTCCCCCTCCTCCTCCTCCTCCTCCTCCTCCTCCTCCTCCTCCTCCTCCTCCTCCTCCTCCTCCTCCTCCTCCTCCTCCTCCTCCTCCTCCCCTGCCCGCTCCCCTCCCCCCCCTGGGGTAACACGCGGTACCCCCCGTGGATAACATATATCGATCTCAGACTGCCACCGCGGGCCCATCGCGTGAACGCGGGGTGCACGCTTCTTCGGCGTCTTCCCCGCGCGTCCGTTTGCCCCCCCCCCCCCCCCCTCCTGGTGAGCGCACACCCGAGTGGAGGCAGGGGTCAGGGAAGCAGGAAGCGAAGGGGAGGTCAAGTATGGTTGTGGACGACGATCAGTGGAGAGGAAACATGTTGCCGAATAATAAATTCCAGATGTCTTAAGACAATGCTGGAATCATGCCTTAAGCGTGCAAAACACATGTTTAAGCCATGTTTGGAACATCTTTCCGACATGTTAATCACATGAGTAGTTCAATGATCGGATTGTTAGGGTGTCCAGTGTCATGCCATCCACAACAGTAGGGAAGCAAGGAGCGCAAGCAAGGCGGCGGTCGAGCGGGCTTCGCGGGCGTGAGCGCACGGGACGTTGCGGAAAGCTGGAGCGGCTGCCCCCATGCACGGGTATCGCAGCGCTCGCCAGGAAGACGAGCTTCCCGCTGTGGTACCGGATATGCATCATCGCCCTCTTGCTGGGCTACGGGCCAGGACGCACGGGGGGACATGCACGACTCGGGGGTGGACAGAGCCCCCATCCTGACACGTCGATTAGTTAATTGTCCTTGTTCGGTTCTCGAGAGGGCGCCGCGGCCGTCGTTTCCCAGGCTTGCGCCCGCCAGGTTTTCACTAAACCACGTTTTACTGAAGGCGGTTCTGTCCATCCCCGAATGACACCCGATGCTCCAGATCGTCAGGTGAGCTGGAGCTCCCGAGCACTCGCGACCAGTTTTTTCCGTCGTGGATCGGGCACGGCCCGGGCCGTCGAGTTTGCATGTCTGCTCTCATCGAGGGGCGCTCCGCTACCGGGCAGAGGAGACGGCAGAGGATGGGGAAGGGTCGTGAACGCAGAACGTATCCGTATCCGCGGCCTCGCGGGCCGGTCCCTTGGGCCGCGACCCCGCGGGGAAGGAGCGAAGTTT